AACCTATTGATAGCCCTAAATTATTAGGCTCGGGAAGAAAGAGAAATAATTTGCTAGTAAAATGAATTATTAACTAATTGGATAATTTAAATAGATAGAAGTCTATGGATAATAATTTACTTAATTTTGTAAAATAAATAAATCAATTATTTATTATTGGGACATGACTGGTCCAAGTTATCTAGAGTCAAACCCAACCCATTGACAACCCTAAATATTGGGTGCATGTTGAATTAAATAAATAAAAATTATGGATAATAATACATATAATTTAATAAAATAAAACAATAATTAATTAATTACAATTTTCACTTTTGAAGTCAATTTAATATAAATAAATCATTTTTATTGTTAAATAAAGAATACAAATCTTTTTTCTCAATTTCTTGGTCAAGCTTCGAGCTTGGGCTCAAGATCTAGGCTTGATGGTCCGGTCATGCTCAAACTTGGACTTGAATATGTTCGATTGATATAAAGGCAAATGTCACATCCCAACGTGACCTGTGAATATGTTTAATCCCAACCCCAGGGGTAGAGCCAAGGGGACCCAAGGAAGCCATGGTCCCCCATTCCACTTACATTTTGCCCCCCCCCCCTCATAAATATTGGGCTCAAACCTACCTATTGATAGCCGTAAATATAGGACTGTCAATGGGTCGGAATCAGTTGGAATTGGAACCGACCTAACATGAAATGTTGATGACCTGAATTTGGACCTAGACCCAATAGGGTTTGTAATTTTTTTATCGGAACCTAACCGAACCAATTGGTTCTCGAGACAACTAGGTCTGACCCAATAGACCCGATTATAATAAATAAAAAATAAATACTTATGTATAATATAAATTAAATATTCTATATATATTATATGTGTAGTATACATATAGCCTATTTATTTAATATATTATATGTTATATATATATATATATATATTCTAAAACGATAGTAATTGGGACCCTATATCACGACCCGAAATTGACCAGTTAGTTCCAAACCGAAACTAGAACTGACCCAATCAGATCGGTCTATCGGGTCGGACCTGACCCATTTACAACCCTACCTAAATATTAGGCTAAAGGGGAGAGAATAATTTGTTAGTAAATTATTTCTAAATAAATAAGTAATTTAGTAAAATAAATAAATAAATGTCTATTTAAATCTTTCTTTCAATGTCAAATCTCATTTGTTTTACTGATTTATAAATAATTTATTTACTTTTATGAAMTAAATAAATTCTTAGATAATAATAATAATAAATAGATAAATAAATAAATGTCTATTAAAATCTTTCTCTCAATGTCAAATCTCTTTTATTTTATTGATTTAAAATAATTTATTTAATTTTATTAAATAAATAAATGCTTAGACAATAATTAAAAAATAAATGAATAAATAAAAATTGAGATAAAGAATAGGAGGAGAGAGAAGAGGGATGACATTTTATTTTGTATGATGGCATAATCATAAACAATTATATATGGCATTGTTGTAGTTTTCGAATATCATAAAGGCATTGCTGTAAAAAAGAGTAAAATTGTCTTATATATGGCATTCCTTTAATTTTTGGATGCCTTAGAGTCAATTAAATTGGAAGGTTTGTCTCATATGTGGTAGTTGTAATTTTGAATACCATAGAGGCAATTACAAGTTAGAAGGTTTGTTTTATATATGGTAGTTGATGAGGGCAGATTTGGCTCTCCAATGACATTATGACAACTAAGTGTAGCCTCTTGACAACTAGGCAGCTCGCCACCAGGCAGCTTACCACAGGCAGCTCGCCACAGACAGCTCGCTACAGGCAGTTCGCCACTAGGCATCTCGCCACAAGTAGTTTGCTACAGGCAGCTCATCAAGGTAGCTTGCTACAGGCAGCTCATCAAGGTAGCTTACCACCAAGCAGCTCATCAAGGTAGCTCACCACCGTACCCCGCATTTTACGGGATTATGACTTGTAATGACTGTATTAGCTCACCCACTCCCCGAGTCAGGCGGAAATGGGCAACCTTACCAGTTGGTGGCTTTATCCCCACCTAACACGAAAATAGGTCCCTTCACAGCGGGAATCCAGGAACTGCTCCACCTAACCCACGAGGACTCCAGTATATAAAGACCTCACCCCCCAGGGGCGAAGGTATGCAAAAAGAGGATGGGTAACCTCTGCTCTCTAGCTCTCTCATTCTCTAATATCATTCTCAGCTCTCCACTAAGTGCTAACTTAGGCATCAGAGTGACCTCGCCGGGTTAGCCACCTCGGGTCCTCTGACATTTGGTTCCTTGCAGGCCTCTAAAAGAGCAACAAAGCTCACCACTAGGCAGCTCATCAAGGTAGCTCACCACCAGGCAGCTTGCCACCAGGTAGTTCGCCACTAGGTAGCTCGCCACCAGGGAGCTCCACTTCAGCCTCTGAGTTACAGGCCACTTGGGAGCAGACGAGATGACGAGGTACTTAGCCAAAAAATTGACACATCATGAAAAAATGATACGTGACCGGAAAAGGTTACATCAGTAGTCATGTAATTTTCGAATAACACAGGGGCAATTATAAGTTAATCACATAAGGGGTTTGTCTTTATGTGGCATTCTTGTAATTTCTAATGAAAAAAGGCAAAAGTTACTATTCACTTAATGAATTCTCTCACTTTCCTTGTACACATTTCAACTTAATAAATTTACTAGCAGAGGGGGCCCTACATTGCAAGGGCTCACTCATAAATTATCAGGCTCGAGCTTAATTCAAATTAGAGACTTGAGCTCGAGCTCGAGCTCAACTCGAGTCAAAAGCTTGGATGTTCGAGCTCGGCTACCTTTGATTGCAGGTCTCTAAAGCAGCCGAGGTGCCAAGCTGAGGTCTCCCTCAATTGTCGAGGTGCCAAATCGAGGTCTCCCTCAGTTGCTGAAGTGTTGAGCAAAGGTTTCCCTAGCAAGCGAGGTGTCAAGCTAAGGCCTCCCTTAGTTGACAAGGTGCCAAGATGAGGTCTCCCTCAGTTGTCGATGTGCTGAGCCGAGATCTCCCTCAGTGACCAAGGTGTCGAGCCGAGGCCACCCTTAGTGGTCGAGGTGTGGTCTAGCTTGCGCTCGATTCGAATTAGAGACTTGAGCTTAAGTTCAAAAGTTCGAGCTCGGCTCARCTCGAACTCGACTACCTTTGATTGCAGGTCCCCTAGCAGCCAAGGTGCCGAGCTGAGGTCTCCCTTAGTTGGAGAGAGAGTGACATTCTTGTAATTTATAAGGAGAGAGATGGCATTCTTGTAATTTGTAAGAAAGAGAGAGTTGGTAGGAGAGAGGCATTCTTGTAATTTGAAAGAAAAACAACAAGAGAGAGGGGCTTGCGTTGCAGGGGCTCACTCATAAACTATCAAGCTCGAGCTTGAGCTCGAGCTCGACTCGAGTCAAAAGCTCGAAAGTTCAAGTTTGGCTACCTTTGCTTGCAGGTCTCTCAAGTAGCTGAGGTGCCAAGCCAAGGTCTCCCTCAATTGCCGAACTGCCAAACCGAGGTCTCCCTAGCTGTTGAAGTGTCGAGTTGAGGTTTCCCTAGCAGGCAAGGTATCGAGCTAAGGTCTCCCTTAGTTGATATGGTGTCGAGATGAGGTTTTCCTCAGTTGTTGAGGTGCTAAGCCAAGATCTCCCTCAGTAACTGATGTGTTGAGCTGAGGTCTACCTCAGTGGTCGAGGTGTCGTCTAGCTTAAGCTTGATTCGAATTAGAGACTTGAGCTTGAGCTCATAAGTTCGAGCTCGGCTCGGCTCGAACTCGACTACCTTTGGTTGTAGGTCCCCTAGTAGCCGAGATGCCAAACTGAGGTCTCCCTTAGTTGGAAAGAGAGTGGCATTTTGTAATTTATAAGGAGAGAGAGAGATGGTATTTTTGTAATTTGTAAGAAAGAGATAGAGAGTTGGTAGGAGAGAGAGTGACATTCTTGTAATTTGAAAGAAGAGAGAGAGAGAGAGAGAAAGAGAGTGTGTCATTCATGTAATTTGAAAAAAAAAAAAACAAAAGAAGAATTGATAGAGAGTGGCATTCTTATAATTTGTATGAAAAAAAAAGGAAAAAATACCCTTAAGTACACATTTCAGCTTAATATATTTATATAGATATAGATATAAATATCTTCATAGTTGTTTCATTATCTACAACTATATATAGGATATTCGGATTGGCCCAAGTCATCATTTTATACTTGAGGCTCGGACAAGTAGTCAATTCTTCCGCTAAATTGCACCCCGAGTTTATTTTATATAATTTTAAGTATAAGCCTAGATGAATTATAAAATTTTAAAAATAAATTTATTATTTTATACAAGACCCATCCTGATAACTAGCCTGACCCTGACATATTGTAGCAGGCCGGGCCAGGTTCATGCAGCCCAGAAATTGTTGTTACTCTTCTGTAAAACTCTGAGCCGGCCAGGCCCATGATCATCCATACTGTGGAGGGACCCGAATAGAAAATCTTTTTTTTCTATTGACTACTTGTCCGGCCAGGCCCAGAAATTGTTTATCCACTCCTGGTTGGGTTTTCCAGGTCGGCCCGACTACGATGACTTATTGACTCGTCCCCGGTGGATCCATCTTCGCACCACTAATAGTCAACCTCAGCTAGTCAGTTTTCTGGTTCGACCGTCCGGATGGCCCATTCTCCCTCAGATCAAAACCCGAAGATAGAAACCAATGGCTATTTCCGTAATTTCAACACCAGCTCAGTCCGGTTAACCGTAGAAAACTACATTTCATGAGTACACTCTACGTTGCACGCTTTTCGGAGCCAATAGACGAAAAAGGAAACCGTTTTTGCCATGGGCTACGCCGCCTTGAGCTAAAACCGTGAATCACGGCCCTCGATGTATTGCCATGGCCCACCGTAAATTGGATAGGAGGAACGTTAAGGTGGGACCATAAAATATATCGAAAGCCGCGATTTCACGGTTTTAGCCCAAGGCTACGCCCACAGGCGTAGCGGATTTATTCTCATTTTGGAGGGACCGAAACCGAACCAAAGGCCGCAGTGGCGGGCATGTGAGCGCCATCTGACTCTCAATCTCTCTCTCTCTCCACTGGGTTTCTTCTGCTTCCCACCTTTTTTGATTTTTATTCAATTTTCTTCCTCCTCTTGAATCTTGATCAGCCCTAATTGACAATTTCGTCGCTCTCTGCGACAATGTCTGGGACTAGCTCAAGGTCTCAGAGATCGTCGAGCAGCGTCTCGCCGTTCCGGTCCAGGAAGTCACCGGCGGTGCCACCAGCTGTGCCGTCTGTAGCAAAGAGCGGCGGCAGGCCGACTACTCCTTCATCGTCTCGGCCTCCGCCGAAGCTCTCGGTCTCACCTGCTACTTCTATTAACTCGACGACGACGCTGGACCGGTCTGATTTTACTAAAGCCAAGGAGAATGTCACTGTCACCGTCAGGTTTCGGCCTCTCAGGTAGTTTGGACTTTGGACTTCTCTTGTCTTACTTACTCCTCGTGTGCATTCTCTGAGCTTTGGGTTATGGGAGATGGTTGTGTTAGTCATGTTTGTTGTGTTGTCAACTTCTCATTTGCTTGGTTTTGAAACTTCTGGGTTTTTGATTTTCGTTGAGCAGTGCTCGGGAGATAAATAAGGGGGACGAAATAGCTTGGTATGCTGATGGAGATTACACTGTTCGGAACGAGTACAATTCTTCCGTTGCTTATGGGTTTGGTCAGTATCAKCTCTCTTCTCGTTTCATTCTGTTTCATTGAATGGTTGTTTGGTATTTGAAGAGTGCTGGCTTCGGCGAGTAAGGTGGGATCATTTATACCGAAGGAAAGAGATTTATTGAACACTGACGAGGTTGCAATTGGCTTCCTTTATAAAGGTTTATTGAACACTGCAAACAAATCCACTTACGTCCACCTTCCACCCTTTTCTGTGTAAGGGTCTGCATAATGAGGGTCTACTTCATCACGGGCTTTTTCCGAAGTTCAGTTTAAGGATATAATTCCTGGTCCAAAAATCCTATGTAGAGATGCAGTTGCTACAAGGGCCATGTTTTGAGTTTTCCTGTCCTTCACAAAACAACATACATGGCAAGGGGAGAAAAAAAGTTGCATTACTCACATAATTCTGGACTAATTTTGCTGATCTTAATGTCAGCACTCGGCAATGTTTATAGATTTTAGATTGTTGCAGTCAAATAAAACATAATAATGAAGCTGCAATACGATGGGGAAAATTCTTGCATGATACGATGGGATAGCAAGCAGATATTAGAGAAGTTAAAATGAGATCAATCTGCTACCTAGCACAAGAACTTCCTTTTGTTAATATTTTTTTTTGAAAGATGAAGATTGCTAATTCCATTTCTTAGTGTGAGAATTCTAGATTGATAGGTGAGTACATGAAGTCTTTCCATTCACAAGTGATTATTTTCCTGAAATGGTGAATGATTGCTTTTCTTCTTTTTTGGTCAATCATGATGATGATTGCTCTGCCAACATCTGTTTGACTGGAGATGTGGATTTATGCTATGATACTTTGCCTTATAGGTAGTATTATATTTTTATATCCGTTCAATATCCTTCTTCATCCTTTTAATTTTTGTTGAAAGTTTCTGTTTGTCATTCCCTGTGAATGACCGCTTTGTGAATTGGTTTGCCTATGGAAGCTTTGTTTTCTTCATCTCTAGTTTTTTGATAGGAAAGAGAAGTGTTTATTATGGTTCTAATGGATAAGAAACAAATATGAAACTGTGAATATATGATGCATGTCAAGGGAACCATGAACTTCACAATCATGAAATGAATCTCTAAATCTAGCTTGAATGTTTTGGGAAGATGATTTTATTTATTTATTTTTAAATTATCTGAAAGAACACTATATGTAGATCAAATAAACCTCTATTAGGCAGGAAAAGAAACCCTCTATTGTTAATCAAGATTCAACTTCCCTCCATGCTGAAAACTTTCAATCGACTTTCTAATACAATGCCTGGTGCCTACAGTTAGTATTTAATATAGTTCCTTACATCCAGAATGAGATAGTCTCCACTAAAAGAGCTCCTTCCTTTTAAAATCGATAGAGCTTCCAATTCAGAAGGCAAAATAAAGAGGGAGAGCTTTGATGGCTTTAGTCTCCCCCATTAAAGGCGTCCTTCCTTTCTTCAAGTGTTGGGGGGCAATTGCTAGGTCCTCCTCCAGGAAACAAAAGCCCCTTAAGGTATAGTCTCCCCTAGAGCTGTAAAACAGGCGTGTGGCTTGCGGGCTGTCTCGGGCCATGCCTCCCTCCCCTAGGATATTTTGGGGGGTCGGCCTAGCATGGCCCATGGCCCAAGCCTGCGCGGGCCTGTGCTGTGTTGGTCTATGGTCGAGCTGTAGACAGGGCCAAAGCTATTTATTTAAAAAATAGAAAAAAAAATCTTAAAATTTTTATTTTATATGAATTTTGATGTATACAATTGTTTATATATACAATAATTAAATACGATAGTATAATAAAATTGAAAACAATTGTTTATTTTATTAATATATATATAATTATATATATATATATATGCATATATGTATATATGTATATATATGTCCATACAATCGTGCCATGCCGGCTCAAACTGGCACGGCTCGATTTACACCTCTTGTCTCCCCCAATGGGCGGGTGGTTGAAATTGAACTTTGATTGTAGTAGTCTGGGCAATCCAGGTCTGTCTGGAATTGGAGGAGTGATTAAAGATGAGAGAGGCACTATAAGGGCTTTGTTTTCAGGTCCAATTGTACAAGGTAATGCTGTAACTGCAGGATTTTTTGCTGCAGTATTTGGGTAAAAATGATCAGAGACATGGGAGAAGAAAGATTGGTTCTCGAAGGCAACTAGAAACTGGTAGTTGGGTGGTCAAAGAAAGGTGAAGGGGTGATCTGGAAGCTTAGAAATGAATACAGGCGCTTCAAATGGATTTCAAGAGATATGATAATTCAAATCAAGTGGGTTAGATCTGCCAATAGTTTAGCAAAACAAGGAATACATAAAACAAAAGATGTACTGGGCTCAGTTATACAGCTGGATGGGTTTGTCTTGCATTGTGTTAGAAAGTTTCTTCACAACTTCTGGTTGTAATGTTTCTCTTTTTTATTAATGAATGAATGAATTTCTGTGTTTCTGATCAAGAGGATTATAAAAAAATGCTTCCAAATTTGGTTCCATTTCAGTGAATTTCTGAAGAGACCTTTATGTGAAAAATAGGAGAATAAGCAGAAAGATGGGTGTTTGGATATAAGAAGTGGAGGTAGCAGAAAAATAGGTGAATAAGCCGAAGAACTTTTCTCAGTCTGGCCAAGAATCGGAGTGAGCAATTAAGCAAAGATAATATGGAGTTGCATACCTTTTTCTGTTTGCTGGGTCCTCTGGAATGAAACGAACAGAAGAGTTTTTCAAGATAAATCTAAAAATACTCAATCACTTGTGGCTATGGTGGGGAACTAGTGGACTGGGCTTGGGTGCTCCCAGAATTTGCTCAAGTTAGTAATCAGATCTGGGGGAGAATTTTTGGAATGTTCCTGAATTTCATTTGTAATGCCTCTCGGTTTTCAGTTTGTGGTTCTAATTCTGTTTTGTACGATTAGGTGCCATCTTGTCACCTCTTGACTGTAATTTTTCTTTTGATTAATGCAATTTCTTTTTACTCTTCAAAAAAGTGATAAATATATCATGTTTTCTAATGCCTCCAAATTGACTATTGGACAATCTGAATCACCACCAAAACAGATGGAAGCCTCCTCAATTTTGTTCAACTCCTGTGGAAACGGTTCACTACCCCTATGGTGCTATGCATCATCTTCTATTCCTAGAAATTTAGTCATGGCAATTTGATTAGGAGGCAGCCGAGTTTTGTGAGAAATAACTATGCTATTTGGAGGATGATTAGAAACCTTATTGGTACTTCTCAGCACCAAGAGGAAGAATGTAACTGATGATGGAATGCATGCTTTGCTTGCCATTTTTTAAGTGGTAATGATCAAAGAGAGAATTCTATTAAAATATGAGTTAAGTTACAAAAAAAAAAAGAAAGATAGATGGACATTATACAAAAAAAACGATGGTCCATCAATGCTATATAAATGCGCACAACATCTGTGGCAATTAACTCCATTTCAAGTCCTTTGCCTATTGACCTCATTTCTGGCTAATCCATCCACTGTAGAGTTTAAGTCCCTAGGATTCAATTCAAAATGAACATGAATGAGCACAACAACAAACTATATATTTAAAACTTTTTTTTCTCCCAACTTAAAAAGGCAAACAACTAAATTGTATAAAGAAGGGAGAGAGAGCTTATTTTCAGGGTTTTGTTATTTCTAGGCAGTGTAGGGGTTTTTGTCAGTTTTTCTTTTGTTGGTGGTAATATCTTATAACGTTTCCTTGTCATAGCACGGATAAAAAAAGTTTCCTTGTAATAGCCTTATATTCTTTTAATGAAAAATTTTCAACTGCACTACTGCAGCCAGAGAGTTCTATCATGGTTGATAACACAAAGGTGTTGGAGAGTGACTTGATTATTTGGTTGTTTATTTTCCAAAACAGCTATATGAAATTACTGAAGACATGCTTTTGAGTATAAGAGAGAGAGTGCTATGCAATATAATGAGCTTATATCGCAGCAGAAAAATGGGAGGCTAAGTTACCGGCCTAGATATAGAATAGTTATACTGATAACTTGTAAAAAATGTTTCTGCTCTGAACATATTGGATCTCAATTTTTTTTGATATACTTATATGGATGTTATAGCTACCGTAGTTTGACCTTTCTGTGTGTATGTGTGACAGAAGGTTCCTTTCTTATGAATTGAGACAATTGTAGTTGTAACTATGTATTTCATATCCATGTTGTGAAAGGTGGCATACTTGTACTATCTAATATAGAAACATCCCCAGCTTGGGGTCCCTGTATCTAAAGCACAAATCACTATGCTATTTCTCCACCTTGAACCTTGCGGTTGAAACCTCCATAGGAATTGCACTCAAACCTCAAAGCTCTAATTCTATTTGTTGTGTGGATGGCTGGATGCACGATTATCAGTCCTCATGAATTTCAATGGATGAAGTGTTTGTATGTGACATGTGTTGGATACTTGGATTTCAACACTTCATTGATTCTTAAGGGGTGCTTCCATGTAACAATATCCTTTTTCTGCTACATCTATAAAAAAAAAACAATATCCTTTTTCTGCTACATCTATAAAAAAAAAACAATATCCTTTTTCTGCTACATCTATAAAAAAAAACAATATCCTTTTTCTGCTAGTTTATTTGACGCAAGTGAACAGCTAATGTACATGATGAATAACACTTTTTCCTATAAAATGCTAGTTAATAACGAAGAAAGCATCTTAGACCTTTATCTGTAGGCATATCATGTTAGAATTCAAAGAATATGGACTATTTTAATAAGTATATACTTTTCTGTAGACATGTCTGCAAGTCTAAACTCCAAATTTTTTCGCTTTCTTGAGCCAGACTCTTGTACATGCATTGGATTTCAACTCCCATGTCTGCTGCAACCAAGGTTCAAAGTATCGATATGATGCACCCCATATTGGGTGTATCATATCGTATCTTGAGGTTGCTGATACGCTAAATACTAAAGGTATAAGGATTTGGTTTGTTTTAGATGATATTATGTGATGTGACAACAGATCTGACAAAATATCAGGCCAAACATTAAAAAAATATGATTTTGGTTCATTTGAAACTCTCAATACTCAAATTTTGCATATTTAGAGTATCACTACTTTGATCCATGGCTGCAACACTGAATAATATGGGGAAAAATTGAAAATGAACAAACCCTTCATGAAAACAAGTTTACATGATTTGATGAGATGTCTTTGTTCATGGGCCAAGAGCTTCAAAAATGATTTGATGGGAAGTCAAACCCAACATAGAGCCAAAATGAAGTTCCTTTGGTAACGGAAACACTTGCCCCAAATCAATGTTCTTTTCAAGAGACACATTCTTTTGATATCAAAACACGGTTCCCTATCTCACAAAGGGATCCTTACTCCAAAAGCCCAAGAATCTAAAATGCTGGACCTGAATTATTTAGAACCCAAACACCTAACAAGGAACTTTCTTTGGAGAACCTCTTATGGAGGACTTAAGTCTCACTTAAAAAATACCCCCAAATCATAAATGTACTAGGACCCTTTTCCTTGTACCACAAGAAAAGCCCCCAAAGAATAATAGTATTATCTTTCTAGTGGGAACTGCCCAAAAGAGACTTAATTGCTTTGAGATTCAATGCATAAATCCTAACATGCATATGTACATTCATATATATGCACAAAAGGAATGTGGTTTTACATAAGAAAATGTATAAATGGATTAATAATCTTATAAGAAGGCGTATAAAGCATTAATACCTTGAATAAACTAACTGCACTTCTAAACACTCTTTGAGACTATTAGAAAGCTATTAATGTGAAAGAAAACCTTAAATGGGTGTTAAAATTAAATAATTAATTTGAACAGATCAGACACACATAAAGATCGAACACTTAGAAGTGGTCTTTAACTTGGTCTTGTGATGAGATCCCTACTTCTGTTAATGCATGAAATACCATTGATATAGCATATCAACATATGAGCATGCCCCTTTCATTTTAAGGTGTGAGCCTGAAGGGTGAATCTCAGGGTCTTTTCTGTAGGCCTTGCCTCGAGTCCTAAACCTTAGATAAGTTTAAAGTCACTGACCTGATGAAACATAACACAACCAGTGGTGCCCTTCACATATCATATGAGAGATTGAACAATCTTCTGTGTCTTCTTAATAGAATGTACTTGGCTTTCTGAATAGGTATGGCCACATCTAAAAGGATATTTTCCTCCACCTCTACGTTCCTTGTCATCCATAACTGTTACACCATGCAGCCATCCACAACTGTTTTACATTAGGATATCGTGGAAACTTGTCCTTGTAAGCTTAAGGACATCTTTTCAAACTTTGATACAATATTTTATTTCTCTGAAGGTATTCCGTTATTGCTATTTTTGTTCTAAAAGGATCATTACTTGATATTGGTCCTGGCCATCTGTGGTCTTGGGAGGGGTGGCTGTATACAGACCTAATCTTTGGCATTTTATGGCTGCTTTCAGACTTGAACATGTGTTCTCACTCTTGCCAGGCTGTTATTTTACCATTGCACCAAGTATTGGCTCCTTTCTTACTGTCTTTGTTTCAAGCATAAAAAAATGTTATTGGTTTTGCAGATAGAGTATTTGGACCAGCAACAACGACTCGCCATGTTTATGATGTTGCTGCTCAGCATGTTGTAAGTGGTGCCATGCAAGGAATAAATGGTAATCTTTATTTGTTTTGGTTTATCAGGTTCTAGTAAATGAAATTTAAAGTACCATTAAATCATAAATTCATTTTTTATTTATTTTTAGAGGCTTGAGGTATCATGAAAGACCCTGCATGAGTTTCGTGTTATTTGACTACTATGCCATAACATATTCATAAGCGCTGCAATATCATGCTATATTCTCATTTATAAAATTCTTCTGGTTTTCTATTTGACAGTTCAGATGGTATACGTGGTTAGAGAAATTGTTTCTGCGTTCTTGATGCTGTCATACAAAAAGTTTTGTTTTTCTTCAAGATTTATATGCTGATTTTGTTATAAGGAAGATTCATTTAATTGATCCATTACATCAGCAATTTTTTAATGTAGATTCCAGTGCATCTCTTTCTCTCTCATTATTGGTAACTTTAAATTTCATTGATTATGAAATTTAACTATAAACCACTCCAGGCAGCCCAATACCAATAGGTGGTAGTATCACCATTTTATTTTACATTTATAGCCTACAAAGACTTGGTGTTAAGCCTAGCCCCTATTTGTACATTTGTTGCAACTCTCCATGGAGTTGTCAAAGGACTTTAGAATCCTGACCCAATGGCAAACTTTAACCAGATTGTTTTCCATAATCTCTTCTTTATGCCTTGCCTTATTCAAGAATATCTTTCCATTTCTCTCCTTCTACGTAGGCCAAAAGCAGCTTCTCTACCATATCTCCAAAGTGTTCTCCCTCCTTTTCTTGATAGGGCAAAAAAAAGTCTTATATAGTCTTTCCAAAGGGGTGGACCACCTGCAACCAAACAAAGAAAAGATCGTTTTCCCAAATTGAAGTAGCAGATGAGCAAAAGATTGTTGGATGATAAGACAACTCTCCACTTGCCAATGCCAAACAAAGAGAGAATACAAGTGGGGACAACTGCCACTAATCCCTAATTTTATGTGGCACTGGCCAGTACCAAATTTCCTGCATTGGAAATCTTTCACTCTCTTTTCTCTCAACAATAAGAAAGAAAATATACTGATGAAGATAAGTGAGAAAGAGGTCCAAGTGTAACATAGATAGACAATTAAGGTCAACAAAAAGTAAGGGGAAATTATCTAATACTATATGCAACTTTATTGACAATGTTAATACTTCCCCTGACTTTTAGATACCTCCAAGGAACCCTTTGTAGGAGTTGTATGGATTGTAAGATTTATGAATCAAATCCTAGGACTCAAACAAAAATTTTAAGATTTTTGCAGAAAAGGATTCAGACATAAGATTTGAATCGAAACCCTTGGGATTCATGATTCAAATTGTGAATCATATCGTAGGTTGCAAGATTTTAACAACATTRYTTAGATAATTAAAAAGATAGATTGAATATACAAACATGACAAACCACCCCTCATGTCATCTGCAAGGACCTTAGTGATAATAAAACTTGTGAAAATGAGGTTTTGGAATGGATTTTGTCTCCATCTGTTGTGTTTGGTTTTTTCTCTTTTCTAAAACCTTTGTGAGATTACATATGAATCTTCTATGTTGTTTTAATTCATCAAAAAAAAAAATCTTCTATGTTGTTTAAGAGAATATTGAACTTCCAAAGAACTTGATTTAACTCAGACTGGGTCACTGGAGTAATGGATACCATGTACTTGTTCTATATTTAGGAGTTAAAGCACTCGATTTATTTTAATCTTAAGTTTTACATTTGTGATTTGTTACAACAAAAATAAGAAAATAAAAGAGAACTTTAAAGTTATATTGGGCTGCTGTTGCTGCCAATGTTCTCTAGCTCTCTTCTGCCATAGGCAGATAGAGTTTCATACATCATAATGCGTGGTGAAATTTGCTTAGCGTTTTTCTGTAACAGTTTATGGTTTTGCTAATGACAATTTCATTTCTTTGTGTAGGCACAGTATTTGCTTATGGTGTTACTAGCAGTGGAAAGACTCATACAATGCATGTAAGTCCCTTCTCTAGTTATTTGGCTATATCAAGGGCTCTTAAAAATGGAATTCCATGATGGCAATCAACTTTTGGGGAATAAATTCTAGGACATGTGTTTCCAATAAGAAAAATCTCAAACATAATAGAATTCCTTGTTTTTTTTTTTTGTTGTAGAAGTAGAAACAGGAGCAGCTGAACCAGGGCAAACACAAATATGTCATATTCACATTTTAATCAAAATCCATCAACCAAATGACAGTGTTACTTGAAACTCAGAAAGTAACTACTAAATCTAAGAATTAAATATGGTAAATTGTTATGCCAAAACATGCAGGAAGCTTCTTTTTTTCTTTTATTTTTTGATAAGTAGGAAACTTCTTTTTTTTCATATGGAAATTGTTTCAAAGAAGAGAAGAACATGACTGATTTAAAAAACATAAGTGCATGTAGGACAAAATTTCTCTGGTGACAGTGGCATTAACAAACACATGCTTTGGTAGTATGGTTTCCTCAAGTATGTCTTTGCTCACAAATCCAATTAAAGTAGGAAAGGTACAAAATTTCTCTAATGCATTATAGGATTTAGGTTCATGATTATGAGTTACGAGTTATGACATATCCCACAATCAGAGCTACAGAATCTCAATTATCAGGTCTACCTCAAAGTTGATTGGGTTACAAGTTAAATCAATCAACCATTCATTTCAAAATTGAGTTGGTGTCTTAATTAATATCAAAATAAAAAAAACCCTGTATAACAGGTTGCTGTACATGGGGAAATACAAGACTATTCACTTTACACTAGGGAATCAGATCATGATTGATTACAAAAAGTGTCTCGTATTAAAAAAATAGTGGTAGTATTCCTTCCTCTAAACAACTTGTGGTTCACTAACTTAACACCTCCCATAATTCTGTTAGTACTTCTGTACTTTATTTATTTTCAAAAATCCTGGTGTTTCTTTCCTTCCACAAGGGCCAAAACATTACTGCATGTATTACTCCAAGCTACTTTCCCATGCTTTCTCAATCCCCTCAAGTACCTACCCTTTAAAAAATCTGCAATTGAGACAGGGAAGCATCCTTAACTGCAAACAATCCTGCCATTTTGTCCATACTCTGTGGGAGAACTTACAATAAACCGAATTAGACAAGCAGTAGATGGCTGACAATCTCCAAGCTTTCTTTACAGAGAGCACACTCTAAATAGACTACCTGCATACCTCTTCTAACCAAATTATCTAAGTCAAAATTGTATCTAAAGCAGACAACCTTACAAAGAAGGCTATCTCAGAAGGCACGGTTGCACACCACTCTTTTTTTGATGAATATTGCACAAAAAGTGCTGAAGTGTTTCTAAAGCAGGTCCATCATTGGAGGCACATCCCAATCATTTATCATTCAAATTTCTCCTGAAGGTGGGGCTTCATACTATAATACCATTCTGCATTTGGTGAAACTCAGCAACAGCTGCCTCCTTATCAACAGCCAGATCAAACTGAGTAGGAAAAGGTCCTTTTGAGGTCTTTCCTCACACCAGCAGTCCTTCCAAACCTGATTTTCTGTCTGTTACTTACTACGTACTTTAAACCTTTACACTAACTGTTGTAGATCACTAGATCTTATCCACTCCCTTCCAAACAGCACAGTCAAAGGGTTGTCTCACCTTACCAGGGCCCCACTCCATATTTCTGCATCCATACTTTAATAATCCTCTTCCAAAGATTGCCCTGTTGATTATTAAACCTCCAAAACTACTTGCCTAATAGAGCAGCATTTTCCCTCCCTCACCCTCCTAATCCCCAAACCTCAATTCCTTTTTAGGTGTAAATACCTTCCTTCAATTCACCAAATGATAATTCCATTTCTCTCTCTTTTTTTTTTTTTCTGATCAATATGATTCCTTTCATCTTTCCACCCCCTCCACAGAAATGTTCTTTCTATTGCATTTGCTATTGATGCCGGAATAGGGAACAGAAACAAGAGATATAATGGAAGAGAGATAGGGCAGCTTTCACCAATGTTAGCTTTGCCCCTTTTGAGAGATATTTAGACTTCCATGTTGCCAGCCTTTTCTCCAGTCTTTCTATTACTGGTTCCCAAATGGATTTATTTGTATATTTGGCATCCTAAGGCAAACACAGATTTCTAGCTGGCAGCTTTCCAACCCTACACCCACAATCTTCAGCCCACATCCTTCACTTCAGATTTATAATTGTTAAGATGGAGACCTGATACTACTTCGAACCATTTCATCATTGCCACCACATTGTCTAGCAGCTCATAACTAGCTTTGCAAAAAATAGTCTCATCTGTGAACTGTAGGAGGGCTACTTCAACTTGGTTAGGGGGGATCCCCCACTTTGAAGCCTTCCACAAAACCTCCAGCCATGGCCCTTTCTATCGTCCTGCTTAGTGCTTCTATTGACACAAATGAATAGATAAGGGGATAGTTGGTCCCTTGTCTAATTACTCTAGAGCTGGTGAAACATGCCACTCCATTCACCAAGACTGAGAAAGAAGGTGTATTCAGACATGCCTTCACTCAGTTCCTCCATTTTGAGCCAAAACTCACTCTTTATGATATAATCCAAAAACTGCTAATTTAGGTGGTTGTAAGCCTTCCCCAAGTCAATTTATTACACAGCATTCTTGCCCTCCCATTACTCAATCTTGAGTGTATCAACTCGTTTGCTGTGAAGACCCCATCCACCATTTGTCTTCCCTCTATACAATTCCTTGAGTTTCAATAGTAATCCTACCCAACACCATTCTCATTCTTACAGCCAGCACCTTTGAGTTTAAGCTCCTTTCCAGGGCTGCTTTATCATGGAAACCTTCAAAAACTTTCATTAAATCATTTTTAACAGTACCCCAACATTTGGTGTATAATTCCATTGTGAAACTATCTGGCCCAGGTGCTTTATCACTCTCCATCCCCATAATAGCCTCTAGCAGCTCTTCCTTGGAGAAGCTTCTATATAGTTCCATCTTTTGCTTATTAGTATGTTCCCAATCTCTGTCATTCAGTTTAGGCCTTTCTTCCACTTTCCTTTATAGGGGTTTGAATAGAACTTCACAATAGTCTCCCTAATGCTCCCTTCATCCTCCAAAATTTCATCATTCATCTAGTATATATCTGCTGAATTAAAAAAAGTATGAAAGAAAAGAGAATTTTCTTGAAGAGAGAAGGAAGAGAGAAGAAGAGGACTTGAGAAAGAAAAGAGACCAGTAATATGGCCGCCCCCTTCACTTAATATTTATATTAGAAATATGAGTACAAAGACTATCATGCCCTTATAGGGCGGCAAAAGATTAAAAAACACATAAAAGACTCAAATAAATAATAAAATTTGGACTCACATAACTGCTGTGGTCCCCACTTCCTATCTAACAATTAACATAAAACAGCTACTCTTAAAACAATACAAAACTGACTAAATCTTCAACAAGTTGGGAGTAAATGTCACACATTTCCAACTTGCGTAGATCATGTTCAAGCTTGTTCTTTGCAACCCCTTTAGTGAGGACATCAGCCAACTGCAACTTTGAAGAGACATAAGGCAAGCAAACTTCTCCGGTTGTTACCCTTTCTCTTATGAAGTGCCTATCAACTTAAATGTGTTTTGTCCTGTCATGCTGAATTGGATTGTGGGCAATATTGATTGCAGCCAAGGTTCAAAAAATCGTTACGTATTGGCTGATCCGTATCGTTCCGGGACCTCTTCGATATGCCCCTACAGTGGGTGTATCGGGGGTTTGACTGGTTTAGGGGGTGGAGGAGCCCTAAACCGGTTTTGAAAAAAAAAAAAAGTAAAAAGAAAAGGTATCGATTCGCCCGATACGCCGGTAGGGGCGTATCGGGCGTATTGATATTTTGAACCTTTTGCAGCCTGATTGTCACAGTATAGCATCATAGGTTCCTCTGCTTTTACCCCAATCTCGCTTAATAGGGATCTAACCCAAAGTAGTTTCGAGACACCATGAGCCATGGATCTATACTCAGCCTCTGCACTTGACCTAGCCACACCTGCTTGTTTTTTACTCTTCAATGAGATCAAGTTTCCACCTACAAAGGTACATACTCCTGATGTAGATCTCCTGTCATCTAAACAACCTGCCAGTCTACATCTTTATAGGATTCTAGCTTCAAATTTTCATGATTTGAGAAAATGGTACCTCTGCAGGGGTGCTTCTTTAGGTATGCAAGTATTCTCTTAATAGTTTCCCAGTGCTGAACCCGAGGTGCATGCATGTATTGACTCACAACACTAATGGCATAGGAAATATCTGGTTGTGTCATACACAAATATAACAATCGGCTCACCATTCTTTGATATATCCCCACATCTTTTACCAACTCACCATCCATAGCATTAATTATATGATTTGAATCAATAGGAGTGTTGGTTGGTTTGGTCTCCAACTTCCCAGTCTCTCGCAGCAAGTCAAGTACATACTTTTTCTGAGAAATGAAGATCCCATGCTTGGATCTTGCAACTTCAATCCCCAAGAAGTATTTGAGCTCACTAAGATCTTTAATCTCAAATTCTTGTTGCAGTGATTTTTTGAGATCATCAATCTCCTCCAGATCATTTCCTGTAATCACTATATCATCCACATACACAATTGGAATTGACACCAGAGCATCTCTCCTCTTCACAAAGAGGGTGCGATCAAACTGGGTTTGAGTGTATCCAAAACGGATAAGTGTCCCTCTGAACCTGTCAAACCAATCCCTAGGTGATTGTTTCAGGCCATACAGAGATTTTCTGAGTTTGCACACCTTTCCTATACCAACATTTTCATAAAAGCCTAATGGAATGTCCATATATACCTCCTCCTGTAAATCACCATTGAGGAAAGCATTTTTGACATCAAGTTGAAACAAGGGCCATGAATAGGTGGCTGCCAGAGATAAAAGGATACGAATTGAACTCATCTTAGTTATCGGTGCAAAGGTTTCCAGATAATCAACACCATAGGTCTAAGTATACCCTTTTGCAACCAACCTTG